CTCCAACTAAAAAAAAAAAAAAAAGAAAGAAAGAGCGAGTATGGTGGCTTGTACTTGTAGTTCCAGCTACTCAGGGAGCTGAGGCAGAAGGATCACCTGAGCCCAGGAGGTCAAGGCTGCTGTGAGCTGTGGTCATCATGATTGTGCCACTGCACTCCAGTCTGGGTGACAGAGTGAGACCCAGACACAAAACAAAAACAAGAGGAAAAAACCCAACTTTCTTCATCTGTAAGACAAGGCCACATCTTATAAAAGGTATAGGATGGACTTACTGCAGAACACTTGTATTCAGTGCCTCCCAAGACAGCAAAATTTAAGTCTGTCTGCAAAATTTATGTCTTCTTAAAACCAAAAACCCCCCAAATGACACGGTGAATAGCAACTTAATTTAGATTTGTATTTTACTGTAGAAATAATAAATGTAAATATTTTAATAACTTTTACTGGTTTAACTGACTTATAATATTAATATTCTCTGGTAAAACCAGGGCATCAGTACTTTTAATAGTTCCAGGGGTGGTTCTAATCTCTAGCCAAGGCTGGGAACCACTGCTCTAGGACTTTGCTTCTCAAAGTGGGGTCCACAGATCAGTACTGAGTATCACTGGAAAGCTGCTAGAAATATGGTATCTTAGCCTTACCCCAGGCCTGCAGAATCAAAGCTGCACTTGAACAAGACCCCCAGGTGATTCCTAAGCGCATTACAGTTTGTGAAGGAGTATTAGGAGCTGTGTTCTGCTTCTAAAGTGATAGAGGTGGGGGCAGTGGTGGTGGTGAGGTCATCTGCATTTGAAAGTCCTTTTGTCAGATGGACATGGTGGCTCACCCCTGGTGGCTCACCTCTGTAATTCCAGCACTTTGGGAGGTGGAGGCAAGAGGACTGCCTGAGTTCAGGGGTTCGAGACCAGCCTGGACAACTTGGCAAGACCTCATCTCTACAATAAATCAAAAAATTAGCCTGCCTTGGTGGCACACAGCTGTAGTTCCAGTCACTTGGAAGGCTGAGGCACCCGTGAATGTGCCACTGCACTAGTCTAGCCTGGACGACAGAACGAGACTATGACTCAAAAAAAAAAAAAAAAAAAGTCCTTCTGTTTTTAAAGATAGCCCTTCTTGGCCAGGCGTGGTGGCTCAGCCTGTAACCCCAGCACTTTGAGAAGCTGAGGTGAGAGGATTGCCTGAGTCTGGGGGTTCAAGACTAGCCTGTGTAACTTGGTGAGACCTCATCTCTACAATAAATCACAAAAACTGGTCGAATGTGGTGGCGTGCATCTGCAGTTTCAGCTACTTGGAAGACTGAGGTGGAAGGATCGCCTAAGCCCAGCAGGTTGAGACTGCGGTGGCCGTGAGCATGCCACTGCACTCCAGCCTGGGTGACAAAAGTGGGACTCCAACTCAAAAACAACAACAATAATAGCAATAATAATAATAATAATCCTTCTGCTAATATCAAAGCAGCAGCAATGATGTTTGCAGCAAAAGCAGAGCTACGCAGAAGCCAGGGTTCAGGACACTTTGTATCAATCCCTCTAGAAGGAAAGCTTCAACAATGTTACCTTACCATTACAGATTCAAACCTGTAACCTTGCTAGATGCTTCTCAATCCTTAGCTACTGTCGTTTGGAATATATTACAATCTTAAAAGTTAAAATAAGTCAAGGTCATACATTGAAGAACTAGGAACGCAAATTCTATTCTGCATTAAATCTGGAACCCATTAATCTGGATCTGTGAGGAAGAGGTGTTATATGGGCCAAGAAAAGGGAAAATCTATACTTCCATTTTTTGGAGAGCTATAGTAACAGCTCTTAAAACCTTATGGTCATATCTTACAACTCAGAAATCCTACACCTGGAATTTTTAAAACAAAAACAAAAACCACAACAAAAAGACCCCACAGAGCCAGGCGTGATGGTTCATGCCTATATTCCCAGCACTTTAGGAGGTTTGAGGCAGGAGGATTGCTTGAGCCCAGGGGTTCTAGTCCAGCCAGGGCAACATAGCAAAACTGCGTCTGTTTAAAAAACGAATCACGAAGCCAGGTTCCAGAGGCTGAGATGGGAGATCATTTGGAGTCCAGGAGTTCAAGGCTAGTCTGGACAGCATAATAAGACCCATTTTCTACATAAGCAGAGGTCTATATAAGAATGTCCACTGGCCAGGCTCGGTGGCTCAGCCTGTAATCCTGCACCTTTGGGAGGCTGAGGTGAGTGGATTGCCTGAGCCCACGGGTTCGAGACCTGCCTGGG